GAAAGACAAGAACATTGGTGAAACTGATCCAAATGTTCAAAACAATGGTATTATCACTGAAAAAGTTTCAAAGAAAAAGTCAAAGAAAAGAAAAAGAGAAGATGATGAAGAAGTGGAAGAAGAAGGTATTATTTGTTTACATGATTTTCATGTATTTTGTGTGCTTGCAAATTGATCATATGAAATACCAATTAACTCTGCAACTGGTGGTATTTGTGTCATAATAATTAGTCCCCTACCGGTTTACCGGAGGGGACTTTAGGTTTACCCTCCGTCCGTCTGTCTGTCCGTCAGTCCGTCCGCGATAACGCAAAAAGTACTGAAAATATTTTTATAAAACTTGATATATGGATAGATGGCAGTATGGAGATTATGCAAGTCTTTTTCTTTTCTTCCTATGTTGAAAATTCTGGTTGCTATGGCAACAAATAGACTGAAAATATGGCAAATTTTACACATAACCTGGATCCCGCGATAACGCAAAAAGTACAGAAAATATTTTTATGAAACTTGACATATGGATAGATGGCAGTATGGAGATTATGCACGTCTTTTTCTTTTTTTCCTATGCTGAAAATTCTGGTTATATGGATAGATGGCAGTATGGAGATTATGCACGTCTTTTTCTTTTTTTCCTATGCTGAAAATTCTGGTTGCTATGGCAACAAATAGACTGAAAATATGGCAAATTTTACACATAACCTGGATCCAGTGATAAACGCAAAAAAGTACTGAAAATACTTTTATGAAACTTGACATATGGGTAGATGGCAGTCTGGAAATTATGCACATCCTTTTCTTATCTTCCTTTGTTGAAAATTCTGGTTGCTATGGCAACAAATAGACTGAATTTCAAGATTTCTGATTCTAGTTTTTAAGTTTTTTCACTATAAGTTCTTTATTTCTTAAGGTATTTTCTTCAAACTTTAAATATAAGTTGCTAGTCATCAACCACATCATATGTGACAAGGTTTACAACTCTAGCACAAAATTTATCAGAATTACATTCCTTGAACTTAAAATTTTCATGAAAAAAATATTGTTTTTTAGCTCACCTGTCACACAGTGACAGGGTGAGCTTTTGTGATCGCTTTTCGTCCGGCGTCCGTCTGACGTCCGTCCGTCCGTAAACTTTTACTTTAAATGACATCTCCTCATAAACCACTAAGCCAATTTCATCCAAACTTCACAGGAATGTTCCTTTGGAGGTCATCTTTTAAAATTGTTCAAAGAATTTAATTCCATGCAGAACTCTGGTTGCCATGGCAACCGAAAGAAAAAACTTTAAATATCTTCTTTTAAAAAACCATAAGAGCAAGAGCTTAGATATTTGGCATGAAACATCTTCTAGTGAGTGTCTACCAAGTTGGTTCAAATAAAAGCCCTGGGGTCAAAATTGGCCCCGCCCCGGGGGTCATTGATTTTCCCTATATGCATATAGTAAAAACTTAAAAAATCTTCTTTTAAAGAACCCAAACAGCTAGAGCTAAGATATTTAGCATGAAACATGTTCTAATTGGTGTCTACCAAGTTTGTTCAAATAAAAGCCCTGGGGTCAAAATTGGCCCCGCCCCGGGGGGGGGGGGGTCATTGATTTTCCCTATATGCATATAGTAAAAACTTAAAAAATCTTCTTTTAAAGAACTCAAAGAGCTATGGCTAAGATATTGAGCATCAAACATGTTCTAATAGGTGTCTACCAAGTTTGTTCAATTAAAAGCCCTGGGGTCAAAATTGGCCCCGCCCCGGGGGGTCATTGATTTTCCCTATTTGCATATAGTAAAAACTTAAAAAATCTTCTTTTAAAGAACCAAAAGAGTTAGAGCTAAGATATTTAGCATGAAACATGTTCTAATAAGTGTCTACCAAGTTTGTTCAAATAAAAACCCTGGGGTCAAAATTGGCCCCGCCCCGGGGGTCATTGATTTTCCCTATATGCATTTACTAAAAACTTAAAAAATCTTCTTTTAAAGAACTCAAAGAGCTATGGCTAAGATATTTAGCATCAAACATGTTCTAATGGGTGTCTACCAAGTTTGTTCAAATAAAAGGCCTAGGGTCAAAATTGGCCCCGCCCCAGGGGTCATTGATTTTCCTTATATGTGTATAGCAAAAACTTAAAAAATCTTCTTTGAAAAAACCCAAATAGCTAGAGTTAAGACATTAAGCATGAAACATCTTTTAGTGAGTGTCTACAAAGTTTGTTCAAATAAAAGATCTGGGGTCAAAACTGGCCCGGCCCCAGGGGTGTCATTGTTTTTAACTATATGTGTATAGTAAAAACTTTAAAAAAATCTTCTTTTAAAAAGCCCAATGAGCTAGAGCTTAGATGTTTAGCATGAAACATCTTCTTATGGGTGTCTACCAAGTTTGTGCAAATAAAAGCCCTTGGGTTAAATTGGCCCTGCAACGTTGGGGGGGGGGGGCCTATATACAGGTGAGCGATCTCAAGGCCATCATGGCCCTCTTGTTTTTAATAACTTCTTTTTTTCTGAATGTATCTACTTCAAACTTCAAATATATGTTTCTTATTATCACTCAACATTTGTGAGAAAGGTCAATACTCTAGCAAGACTTTTTCCAGAACTATGCCCCTTTTGAACTTTTTTTCGAGAAATTGGTAATTTTTACTCCAAATTCTTCAATCATTATAGGATTTTCTTCAAACTCCTTCAGTGTCCTTCAGTCTGTCTGTCTGTCTGTCTGTACATAAAAACTGTTTCCTGTGATCACTTTTAAAGAACTTTTTCAACAAATTTACCTAAAATAGAAACATAAGTGAATGGCCAATGGCCCTTCAGAATGTATCTGGGGTTCTAACCGGTAGGGGACTTATGGATTGCTTGCAATACTATGATAATTGCTTGTTGATATAATTATATATTGGCATATCTTTTTTTTGGAGTTTCATACAAAATTGATACTGGTTACAGTGTAAGATATAGAGCATATTTGTTTAACTTCACTGATAGATCACAAGATGTTATATTTTCATTAATGGAATAGACACTAGTGAAAATATACATTTACACCTGATGTTCATGAACATGATATCTTAAAAAAATAAATTCTGTAATATTTCTTAGAATTTTTTCATTGATTTTTAGTATGAAGTGTGCTAATGTTTAATAAATGATTGATATGATTCAGTGCTATAGTTAAAAAATAAAGAGAAAAAAAAACTTAGATAAAAGAACTATTTCTCAGTACCTTTTTTTCTTTCCTACTTTTTCTGCAAGAGCTTTCAACTATAAACTGAAACCTAAGATAATTGGTATTGTGTTACCATACCTGGACATCTATTATTAGGTAAGGTTTATAAGTCAATGGAGTCAATGTCTCCAGACGGGCTATTTATGTACCATAGCAATATTGTAAAATTGTCAAAGCAATATGAAAGGGCATTCATCATTTTCAGTTATATCCTTGTAACAAAAAGATTCTAAAACCTATAATAACAATGGGATTTTTATGCTCCCCGAAGGGTTAGAATATAACTGCCGCGTTGTCCTTCTGTCCATCTGTCTGTCCATCCATCCACTTTTCTTGTCCATTGAGAAGTAGCCTAAGCTTGGAATTATCACTTTTTGAACTTTGTCCGGGACATAACTCTGAAACTACAAAATGTATACTTTTCTGAGTTCAAAACCTATTCGAGGAGCATCACCCGGTTCAACTGGCTCTTGTTTGTTTTATTTATAAAATAAGGCTGACTATGTACCATATTTTGTAGATGAGGTAAAGGATGGGGATGAAAATGAAGAAAACGATGATGATAGTGGGGAAGAGGAACCAGCAAAGAAAAAATTCAAGACTAAATTTAACTGGAATGAAATCATAGTAGAGGTTTTACAAAGCAAGGGACCGGAAATGAAAACAAAAAAGCTGAGAAAAAAGGTAAAAGTTCTTGCTTTCATTTATTGTGACCAAAAGGTATCACGTTTTTAAATTTTTATTCCAATCTGACAGTTTCCCAATAGGCAAATCATACACTTTCTCAGAGTTGTTGTCACTTGCTATTTCCAATTTCAATTGATATATTCTTCAATGCTGAATTCGACGAGGAATGTAGAATGATATTTTATGATCTGGAAAATGTGTCCCAACAAAATAACTTGTTTTTAGCTCACCTGTCACAAAGTGACAGGGTGAGCTTTTGTGATCGCTTTTCGTCCGGCGTCCGTCCGGCGTCCATCCGTCCGGCGTCCGTCCGTAAACTTTTACTTTAAATGACATCTCCTCATAAACCACTAAGCCAATTTCATCCAAACTTCACAGGAATGTTCCTTTGGTGGTCACCTTTAAAAATTGTTCAAAGAATTTAATTCCATGCAGAACTCTGGTTGCCATGGCAACCGAAAGAAAAAAACTTTAAATATCTTCTTTTAAAAAACCATAAGAGCTAGAGCTTAGATATTTGGCATGAAACATCTTCTAGTGAGTGTCTGCCAAGTTTGTTCAAATAAAAGCCCTGGGGTCAAAATTGGCCCCGCCCCGGGGGGTCATTGATTTTCCCTATATGCATATAGTAAAAACTTAAAAAAATCTTCTTTTAAAGAACCCAAAGAGCTAGAGCTAAGATATTTAGCATGAACTATGTTCTAATGGGTGTCTACCAAGTTTGTTCAAATAAAAGCCCTGGGGTCAAAATTGGCCCCGCCCCAGGGGGTCATTGATTTTCCCTATATGCATATAGTAAAAACTTAAAAAATCTTCTTTTAAAGAACCAAAAGACTTAGAGCTAAGATATTAAGCATGAAACATGTTCTAATAATTGTCTACCAAGTTTGTTCAAATAAAAGCCCTGGGGTCAAAATTGGCCCCGCCCCGGGGGGTCATTGATTTTCCCTAATTGCATATAGTAAAAACTTAAAAAATCTTCTTTTAAAGAACTCAAAAAGCTATGGCTAAGATATTTAGAATCAAACATGTTCTAATAGGTGTCTACCAAGTTTGTTCAAATAAAAGCCCTGGGGTCAAAATTGGCACCGCCCCGGGGGTCATTGATTTTCCTTATATGTGTATAGCAAAAACTTAAAAAATCTTCTTTGAAAAAACCCAAATAGCTAGAGTTAAGATATTAAGCATGAAACATCTTTAAGTGAGTGTCTACAAAGTTTGTTCAAATAAAAGACCTGGGGTCAAAATTGGTCCCGCCCCGGGGGTCATTGATTTTCTTTATATGTGTATAGCAAAAACTTAAAATCTTCTTTGAAAAAACCCAAATAGCTAGAGTTTAGATATTAAGCATGAAACATCTTCTAGTAAGTGTCTACAAAGTTTGTTCAAATAAAAGCCCTGGCCCGGCCCCAGGGGTGTCATTGTTTTTAACTATATGTGTATAGTAAAAACTTTAAAAAAATCTTCTTTTAAAAAGCCCAATGAGCTAGAGCTTAGAGGTTTAGCATGAAACATCTTCTTATGGGTGTCTACCAAGTTTGTGCAAATAAAAGCCCTTGGGTTAAATTGGCCCTGCAATGTTGGGGGGCAGGGTGGGGGTTGGGGGGGGGGGCCTATATACAGGTGAGCGACCTCAGGGCCATCATGGCCCTCTTGTTAATATTGAAACATTGAAGTAGAAAAATACTGGCAAATGTACAATTATTCTATAAATGCAGTATGTATAGAAATATTCGCGGGCTTCAAATTTTCGCGATATTCACGATGACTCTCGATCTGAAAATTCATGTTAAGCGCGAATATTTCTATGCCAATAATTTCTTAAAAGTCATGTTTTCGCGCTTCTATAGAATAATGTATATCAGCGTGTTATATACTTTCATACATACGAATTTATTATAATGTTACTGAGTAATTGTGTTTTGTTTTCCAAGTTATTCATCAGTTAAAAATCATTCTGTTTGTGTTCTTTGTAGTGACTGTATAGGAAAACAAAATATGATCTGATCAGATTTCAAGACGTTTATGATGCAAACTATGAAACAATTTTTACTTGATGCATTTGTTTTAAAAAACATGTATGTACACATTTAAATGCAGTGTAAAACTTTGTAAAACTGTGCAAAAGCATGCACGTTAACGGGCATTGTTTTGTTTGCCATAATCTGTCCACTTTTCTGTACAATATCGTATTGTTTTAGATAGATATTGAAAATAAATGTGAACTCCCACGATGATTACAGTAAAAGTTATGTAAAATGAATGAAGGCTGATTGCGAAAACCAGTGCATTGTATTTTGATTTTTAACATTGTCTGCATTCGTTTGTATTTTACACCATTCCAAAATCCTGTAAGAGTAATTTCCCTTCTTATTTTATTCTGAGCGGTCTACGCGAATTGATGATTTTCCACAGTCACCTCCGCGAATTCACAGAAGCGAGAACATTTGTAGAGACCCTCAAAATAGACCTTTCTGCCAAAATTTGCTTCCTCAAATTCAAATACACATACAGTATTATGTAAATGTAAAATTATTCTGTAATTTGTTTTATTTTGAGTAGTTTTATCTTTTAAGTTGTTTTATTCCATTTTAGGTTCTTGCTGAGTACTTGTCACAGGGATGCACTGAAAGATCTGAGGAAAAACTGTGGTCGAGATTTGATAAAAAACTGAAAAAGATTCCTGAGGTTAAAGTAATAGGAGAGAAAGTGAAACTTAAAAATACCTCCTAGTACTTTGCTATATGATGGCTTTCACATAATCTCAGATGTTAATGACTCATCAGATTCCAGATTCGGCTATAAAGTGATTGAAAGATATGAAAGGAATATGGTGACATTTTAATAAATGTTGACTATAGTTTAAGAACTTCCTTATTGGATTCTATTACAATAAAGTTTTGTTTTAAAGGTCATTTGAGTTTTAAAGAGTTCCATTTAACAGTTTTCAAGCATGAAATTATGTTGTGGAGAGAGACAATATCTAAAATGTTAAATTACATGCATGTAACAGCAGATATACATATATATTTATACATATATATTTAACAGAATATGCATGTAGATTTCGTATATAATGTTGAAGCAAACTTTTTATGCTTATGCAATAAGGTGGCATATAGCGATAGTTATACATCTAAAATATATAGTAAACTACAATTCATTCTCAAGAAACATGTGGGATAACAAACAAACATGTCAAGATTGTTCCTAGAGTGAAAGACTTCTAAAGTTGTACAAAAACAATTGATTTTTTAAAGAAATCATGTTGCCATAATTTGGTTCCATAGCATCCATAAGACATTATAAGAAGAATTTAAATGACCTTATACACAACTAAAAGGTCTAGAGCTTTGATATATGCATGAGACGTTTCCTGTTGGACCTCTACCATATTTGTATGAATCCTGGTCCCATTGGCCAAGTTGGTGCCGATTCAAAGGGCACATAATTTTAGATATATACATGTACATATACATGTATGTATTAGAATATAAAGTCTCTTAATCATGCCCAGTTATCCAGTTAGCCAAAATGCTTTTAAGGAACAACAAATATAACAGTACTGTATAGAATAAAATAGAAAGTTTAATACATTATTTGTATGTAAACATAATGCTGTTTTGGCTACCTGGACAAACTCATCTGCCTTTGAGAAAGAAGTTGGTATACTAAGTCACCCGACAAATACCTTAGTCACAATTTCTATAAATTTTGTACATGACAGCAAGCTGATGATTCACACCAAATATGTAAGCTTTGGGCAGTTACGGAAATATTTAAAGGTTTTATTTATAAATGACGAATATCAAGTGGCAGGTGGTGCCAAATCTGATCCAATGGTCATGATTTGGAAAAAACTTGGAGAAGATTTTTTTAAAGCTTTCACAATGTGATTAAATGTAAAATCAAAAGTGATCACTAGGGATTTCGTCTTGTAACATATCAATGTTTAAGACTAGGTGGTTCTGGAGGATATATTGAATTTTTCACTATTATATTTCTATAAAATGGTGTCCCCGAGGATAGGCAGATTTGACCCTAGGGGTCATGATTTTAACAAACTTGATACAGGCCAATCAGTTAATGCTTCATGCTAAATATCACAGTACTAGACCCTGAAGTTCTGTAGACAAAGATTTGTAAGTTTTCACATTATGTTTTAATGCATTTGGACAAAAAAATCAGCCATTTGTTTTACAATGAATACAAGTGAAAAATGTGGAAAATACCAGATAAGTCATCACTGTGTATTTTAAGCTAGTTTGTTTTGAAGTGGCAGAATGCAATCTGACTGCATGAATTGTACAATTTCAGCTTTTTATTTGTGACTGATGAAGCCTTCTTAACTGAAATTTTTTATTAAACTTGTTTTATATGTACATGTATGCTCACAGACTAATTGATTTTCAAGATGTTGGTCTCTGATACCTTAATATTCTATGGGACTTATTATTAAATTCATTTTATTGTACTTATTATGTCTGTAGTATGTATGTAATTGATAAAAAAATATCTTACTGAAAGTTGAACTACATTGTTTAGTTATTTTGTCTTGCAAAAATTAAAGATGCAAGAAGCCCCTACTTCTAATACTATGCCACTAAATGTTACATGTTCAAAGCTTATGCCATATTACCTTTACATACTGTTGTAACTTACAAGTATTTACTATCAGGTATGTTTAGTTTTAGTCATGTGAGATTATTCGCCCATGTTTGAGCCCATCTACACTTTTGGCAACTGTATGGACAGCTATCACGACAAATGACATGTCCTTAAAGAAAAGAAAAATAGAAGTGAAAGATATAAAATATATATCGCATCTAGTACTCATTAGTTAGAAATAATAAAAAAAATCTTGGTTTGAATATGAAAAGCACACAATAGGTGAGTTTTTATAAGCCCACTTGTCACAAAGTGACATGGTGAGCTTTGTGATTGCTTTTCGTCCGGCCGTCCAGCGTCCATCCGTAAACTTACTTTAAATGACAATAAACCGCCAAGCCAATTTCATCCAAACTTCACAGGAATGTTCCTTTGGTAGTCAACTTTAAAAATTGTTCAAAGAATTTAATTTCAAGCAGAACTCTGGTTGCCATGGCAACCGAAAGAAAAAACTTAAAATATGAGCTTAAATATTTGGCAGGAAACATCATCTAGTCGGTGTCTACGAAGTTTGTTCAAATAAATGCCCTGGGGTCAAAATTGGCCCGTCCCGGGGGGTCATTGATTTTCCCTATATGTATATAGTAGAAACTTAACATCTTCTAATGGGTGTCTACCAAGTTTGTTCAAATAAGGGCACTTGGGTTAAAATTGGCCCCGTCCCAGGGGTCATTGATTTTCTTTATATGTGTATAGTAAAAACTTAAAAATCTTCTTATAAAAAACCCAACGAGCTAGAGTTTAGCTACTAAGCATAAAATATCTTCTAGTGAGTGCCTACCAAGTTTGTTCAAATTAAAGCCCTTAGGTCAAAATTAGCCACTCCCAGGGGAGGGGGTCATTGTTTTTCCCTATATGTATATACATGTAGTAAAGACTTAAACAAATCTTCTTATAAAAACCCCAAAGAGGTAGAGCTTAGATATTTATCATGAAACATCCTCAAATGGGTGTCTACCAAGTTTGTTCAAATAAAAGCCCCCGGTTTAAAATTGCCCTTGGCCCAGGGGCCTTTATACAGGTGAGCGAATTCAGGGCCATTAATATTAATTATATCGCATATGTTGCGGTTCAGATCGGAATATCCGTCCCGAGGGGACCCCGCCCATTGGGTGGTAACGAGGCTTGCCGAATTACCGCCCATAGGCGGGTACCCGAGGGACGGATATTCCGATCTGAACCGCAAACATATGTCAGATATTTTTTCTTGCATATTTTGTCATATTGTTTCATAATTATTTAAATCGGTTAACCTTAATAAGATATTTGTTCATGGAAATTCATGTCATTTCATCCATAACTATTTTCTTACTTTAATAACAACGGCAAAATGACGTTATCCTAAGCACATAGTTTTCTTCTAAAATGCGCCGTAATGACATCATTTTAACGCGGTCCATTCATAAATTGCGCTAAAATGACGTTGTTGTATGGCACGCGATTCATCTGGCACCCCCTTGCCAGATGAAATTTCCGGCATGGGTAAAACTCACGGAAACGCCAGTCTCCCATTCAAAAAAATGTGAAGATTCAATGATCAAAGTGTATTGCTAATCGGGTGTAGACTAATGGCTCAGAAGGCAAAATACTTGACATTTTAGATCTTGTATGTTGAGAGGGGATACATGGAGGTCTGTAAGCAAGCTTATATGCACGTGTAAGTAGGTACGTAGATTCGAAAATAGTTTCATGTATGTATTTGTAATATGGGTTTAAGCTTTTAATAAAACTGAGGGGTCCCTAATTTGGTTGTGCTTTTGTTTGTATGCAAATTTTAATTGTATCAGTATATCTGTGAGATATTGTGCACAGCAGTATTTTTATGGCTGCCTTCGAAGAAGTGGGGTCAAATTGCTTTGCTAGACCAAATAGTTTCCGATCAATAACTAAAGAACGCTTAGGCCTAGGAACTTCAAACTTGGTATGATGATGAAAATGATCCCTATTTTTTTTTTTTTTTTTTTTTTTTTTGAGGGGGGGGGGGGGTCCTTAGGTCAAAGGTCAATGTCAAATTGGTTTCCAACTAATACCTCAAGAACTCATAAGACTTTGAACTTCAAACTTCACAGGTGCATTGGTCTTGGCCTGTAGATGGCCCGATTGATTTTCGGGTCAAGTGGTCAAAGGTCATCTTGACCTTGTAGGTAAAAACGGTTTCCGATCAATAACTTAACAACCCATTGGCTGTTGTCGCTCAAACATCGTAGGTGCATAAGTCTTGGCAAATAGATGCCCCTATTGATTTTCGGGTCAAAGGTCAAGGTCATATTGACCTTGTAGGTAAAAACGGTTCCGATCAATAACTTGACAACCCACTGGCCCTCAAAATTCGTAGATGCATTGGATGCCACTATTGAATTTAGGGTCAAAGGTTAAGGTCATGTTGACCTTGTATGTCAAAACGGTTTCATATCAATTACTCGACAACCCAAGGACCCTTGACCTACAAATTTCAAAAATGCATTACTTTTGGTCAGTTGATGACCTCGATTGAATTTTGGTGTCAAGAAGTCAGAGGTCGAGATCACATTGACCTTATAGGTATAAACGGTTTCTGATCAATATCTTAACAACTCATGGGCCCTTTACCTTTAAATTTCACAGGTGCTTTGGTCCTGGTCATTAGAAAACCCCTATTGATTTTAGGGTTAAAAGTCAAAGTCACATTTGACATTGTACGTAAAAACGGTTTCCGACCAATAACTCAACAACTCAAGTTGCCTTGGTTGATATTTTTATTAAACTAAAAATGCTTTTGATATACACAATTCAAGGCCTAATGTTATATAACAAATTGGCTGTCATTAATGAGGCATATATGTTTCATAAAATTTATGCATAGATTTGTAAAATTGCTGCACTAAACCTCTACGGTCACATTGATCTATTGACTAGTCATGACCAGTAGATAACCCCTATTGATTTTTTGTCACTAAGTCAAAAGTCATAATAACATTGCCACATGACCAATTGGCTGCCGATAAGAGGCATGCATGTTTTACATACACGTGGCCTGCTTTTTAAATTTTTCTTTTAACGTATTATCTGTGATATTCAGGCTTCATAACCTCTGATCCCCTTTCAAAATTCCATTTTATTTAGTTCCGCCCATTTTTTTCTCGTTTAGGGGAAACACATCTTTTTACTTTGGGACCATATGCCGCATTTCATGAATTGGCACTTACATGTCACGTTCAAGGTTTCATGATAACCGCCACATAGACACATCAGCAGATGTTTAAAAATTCCAAATTTTACCAGTTCATGTTAAATGTTAAGCCGGTGCTAGGGGGCGAGAACGGTAAAGGCCTCAACAGACGGTAGGATTTAGTTGTACAACGCTAATTAGAGATGGTGTACGACTTTCGAAGCAATACAGCACTTGCATTCAGACCGTAATTCTGCATTGTAGGAGCCATCAGGTTAACAGTTCCCTCCCAATTGATCCCGTACATACTTTACTCACTAATTTTTTTTCTCGAGTAATGACTGAAACACCTCCATTTTACAAAAAGTCTATAATTGTCACAGGGCGAGATTAATGTGCAGCCCAACCGAGATTCGAACCTGGGGCCCTCGGAATACTGTACTATGGCTCTACTTACTAACCTATCCGGCCGCCTACAAACTGTCTCCCCTTATTAGAGAACAGTTCAATACCGTGACATAATCATTTCTGAATAATTTGGGATTCGAACATACCACAACTTTGGGTCTCCTGAAGAGTTTTTCAACATCATTACCCCATCTTACTACTATGTTTACCTTTTAGCCCTAATTGGTCTGGAAACAGATTATCAGGGGATAATTGGGAAATATGTCACCTGTCATATGGGAGGTCGTACAACAAGTATTAATAGATAGAACATGTCCTAATCTGTAAATCTAGTATTAAGTTGTATTAATTCAAGAAATAATAGCCATCACACATTAAGATTTGCTTGTACATCTTAGTTTTAATTGGCGTTGTTCTGCAAAATCCTTCTGTCTGACGAGGCCTTAACTTGCACATTCCATTACCGTCCATTAACAGGCTCAATCAAACCGGGCCTGCAACATTTTCAATTTTGTCGTTTTGCACGTTCGTTAGGGACTCTTATAGAGTATTATATATATCTTTAAGATACAAATGTATAATTATATTGTTAAATTACGTTTTAATTAAGAAAACTATGAAGAAAGCTATTCCTAGATCTTAGCCAGTAACAATTATGTTTTTGCACCAGACATCGTCTCATAAAATATATTAAAAACATATAACGAGAAGATAAATAAGAACGTTACACCGTTATTTCTATTATTGACATTTTTTTTCCATTTTACGTAAAAGCAGCATTAACTGAGCAACGGTCACCAGTATATTATCGGGAAAGGAGCGTCGCAACAAATATTATATATATTATTGTTAACAGAGTACTGTTGGAATTAATGAAATGAAATATGAGCAGATGAGTTTTTCGATTTTTCATCAGAAATGTTGTGTTTGTAATCAGGATACTGAGGTGAACGATAATTGTTTAAACTTATGAACTAATTTGATTCTTATAAATAAAAGTAAACCAGGAGATATATAAGTAAAGTTTTCAAAAACTGAATTGGTACTGTTACCAAGTGGTCGGCACACGCAATGGCTAACAATCGCTTATCGAATGAAACGGTTGGAAATATAACTGACGTTGTTTATGTGATTGGAGTTGTACCGCAGATAGGCAATGCAATTATAAGTATTCTTACAATAATGTTTAATTTGCTCATCTTGATTACCATGAACACACACCGCCACATCATATCAGAAGTTGTAAGACATCAACTAATTAGTCTCAGTGCAAGTGATCTCATTTCAGGAATATCGCCTG